ATGAACACGACCAACTTAGGTGGTTATGACGTCGATATTCCACGTCATAAGCACGATCAACTTAGATGTTTACGACGTCGATATTCGACGTCATAAACACGATCAACTTTGGTGTTTATGACGTCGACGTCATAAACACGTTCAACTTTGGTGTTTATGACCTCGATATTCGACGTCATAAACCCATTCAACATTGGTGGGTAACTTTGGTTGGAAGAAAATGAAATTTTTTTTTTAAATTCGTCAATATTCGACGTCATAAACACGATCAACTTTGGTGTTTATGACGTCGATATTCGACGTCATAAACACGATCAACTTTGGTGTATATGACGTCGATATTCGACGTCATAAACACGATCACCTTTGGTGTTTATGACGTCGATATTCGACGTCATAAACGCGATCAACTTAGGTGTTTATGACGTCGATATTCCACGTCATAAACAGAATCAACTTAGGTATTAATGACGTCGATATTCGTCGTCATAAACAGGATCAACGTTGGTGCTTATGGCGTCGAAATTCGACGTCATAAACACGATCAACTTAGCTGTTTATGACGTCGATATTCGACCTCATAAACACGATCAACTTAGGTGTTTATGACGTCGATATTATACGTCATAAACACGATCAGCTTTGGTGTTTATGACGTCGAGATTCGACGTCATAAACACGATCAACTTTGTTGTTTATGTTGTCGAGATTCGACGTCATAAACATTATCAACTTTGGTGTTTATGACGTCGAGATTCGACGTCATAAACACGACCAACTTATGTGTGTATGACGTCGATATTCGACGTTATAAACACGATCAACTTAGGTGTTTATGACGTCGATACTATACGTCATAAACACGATCAACTTTGGTGTTTATGACGTCGAGATTCGACGTCATAAACACGACCAACTTTGGTGTTGATGACGTCGATATTCGACGTCATAAACACGATCAACTTTGGTGTTTATGACGTCGAGATTCGGCGTCATAAACACGACCTATTTTGGTGTTTATGACGTCGATATTCGGCGTCATAAACACGATCAACTTTGTTGGTTATGACGTCGAGAATCGACGTCATAAACATTATCAACTTTGGTGTTTATGTCGTCGAGGTTCGACGTCATAAACACGACCAACTTATGTGTGTATGACGTCGATATTCGACGTTCTAAACACGATCAACTTTGGTTTTTATGACGTCGACGTCATAAACAGGATCAACTTTGGTGTTTATTACGTCGATATTCGACGTCATGAACACGACCAACTTAGGTGGTTATGACGTCGATATTCCACGTCATAAGCACGATCAACTTAGATGTTTATGACGTCGATATTCGACGTCATAAAGACGATCAAATTTGGTGTTTATGACGTCGACGTCATAAACACGTTCAACTTTGGTGTTTATGACCTCGATATTCGACGTCATAAACCCATTCAACTTTGGTGGGTAACTTTCGTTGGAAGAAAATGAAAATTTTTTTTAAAATTCGTCGATATTCGACGTCATAAACACGATCAACTTTGGTGTTTATGTCGTCGATATTCGACGTCATAAACACGATCAACTTTGGTGTATATCACGTCGATATTCGACGTCATAAACACGATCAACTTTGGTGTTTATGACGTCGATATTCGACGTCATAAACGCGATCAACTTAGGTGTTTATTCATGCATTTATAACTTCAAGACTGGATTATTGTAACTCCCTATTGTATGGTGTACCCAAATATTTGCTTCAGAAGCTTCAGAGAGTCCAAAATACTGCAGCTCGTTTATTAACTGATACTAAGAAATCGGCGCATATCACCCCAGTCTTATCGAATTGCATTGGTTACCTGTCCAATACCGTATTCAATTCAAGATTATACTTCTTGTCTACAAAGCTGTTAATGATCTTGCTCCATCGTATCTGAAGGAACTTATGCTGTGTCGTACTTCGCAGCGTACTCTTCGATCAAAT